AGAGTACTGTGTACAGTTTTGGGCTCCCTTACCTAAAGAAGGACATTGAATTGTTGGAGAAGGTTCAGAGAAGAGCCACTAGAATGATATCTTGGATGGTGGGATTGTCCTATGAGGAGACACTAACATCTCTAAACTTGTTTTCTTTAGAGAGAAGAAGGGTCAGAGGGGATTTGATTGAGGTGTTTAAGATTAGTAAGGGTATTGATAATATAGATCCATTAAACTTTTTTGTGTTAAGCAGTGAAAATAATAGGACATTGGGGGCATAAATTCAAAGTTTGGCAGCGTAGGAGTCGTCAGCAGTTTAGACAGTATTACTTTTCAAACAAGGTGGTTGGCTTTTGGAATTGGCTACCTTCAAGGGTGGTGGAGGCAGAAAATTTAACTGAGTTCACGAAAAGATTGGATGAATGCATGAGTAGTAAGGGGTGGTTATAGTTGAGAGCTGGAAGGGACATCCTTGATGGGCTAATAAGCTCCTTTTTGTCCCTTTAAAATTTTGTGAAATTTATAAAGGAATGTCTGTTGATTAGCAGACTTAAACCAAAGTTGAACAAGCAAAAACAGTGCAGTTCATTTATTATTAAATCTCTATTCAGAATTAAAAAATGTAGACTACCAGAAAGCTTTATTTGGAAATCAGGCCCCAAAACATGTCTCCTTGATGTGCAGACTTTGTGTTAAAGCATATTGTTTTTAAATATTTGAATTTTAGGAATTTTATCACACTAAAGACTTCATTTACATGCAAATATGCATATTGTGTAATTTTTTGCATATACTTAAATATATTAGGGCATACAGTGTGATATAGTATGTAACAGATGCAGTTTTAGAAACATGCCTACCAAACTTATCCCAGTTTTAATATCTCAAAAATACCTTAAGTTATCATCAACAATTATTGATGTTGCTTTTCAAAGCTGTTGTTTTTCCATCTATACTGAATTTGTTTGTTTTTTTAAATCAATAGGTAAATTTATAATGATTTTGGATTTGTTTTTTAATCAATGATATTTGTTTTTATAAATAAAATTGGAAAGCAGTGCACTATCAACAACTTTGTAAAGAAAGATGTAGGTCCAAAAAATTAAAATTATTCTGCATACATTAACCTAGATTGGGGAATATATCTAAACTCAACATGCAGTATATAATGTGACTACATGGAAGTACATTTATACATCCAAAATTGTTTTATGTAATGTCATGAGAAGGATCAACAAGTTGAGGAGCAAAGTGTTGGTCATCATATTTTTGAATGCCCCTATTGTTGGTGGGTAAGCTAATATTGGACGTAAAAATACACACACACATACATGCATACTGGATGTGTCCTGTCTGCTTAACCGTGGAAAATGTCTTTAGTTTGTTTCACAAAGATTTATTTCAGACTGAAAATAATTCATCTCTGAACATGTTACATTGTTTACTTGTTTTCCTTGTAGCAGAAGATGTAGATGTATTTTGCAAGCCAGTAATATTTTCAAGTAATTTCAAGCATCACTGGCTCTAAACACTAATTATCTTGAAATAAACTACTGTTCTATTATTCATTAAAAAAACAGTTCTCCTATTAGTTTTTCTTTTTTTGTTAATAACTTTGATCCAAAATATTGACATATAAATGTAAGGAATGTTGTAAACTTCTTTATTCAGTATTTTTTCATGATGTTTAGTTTTTTTATTTCTTTTTGCAGCTATAAAGAAGAAAGTATGTACATCAGCATATCTATATAATATTCTTTTGTCTTGTCTGGAAAATATGCCTAAAGGTATGTACAGAAAAAGGCTGAAAATAAATGGTAAAAGGAATTAGAGGAAAGCTCTTATTTGACAGTGCAAGGGATTTTTGTAATGGGGTCCGTGTCAGTAATTCTTTGATAAAATTGTTTCTCTGTTGAAATCCTTATAGGCTTCTTAGATGTTTTAGGTTGTTTAGCTTTTGTTAGACCTAGCATTTGAGATTTGTTAAATTACATGTTTTAAAGTTTGTAATATTTAACTTAAGATAATTGGGGAGACAGAACTATTTGTTTGTGTATCTTCAGAATTAGGTGCCACAGTCCAGTACAGGGAATATTTTTATTTCTATCTATTGTTCTGTTTGTGTATAAAGTGTATATGTTTTGTATAAACTTCAGCTTATTAAAGCTTGTTGACAGTTTATGAGTAGTGTTTAACAAAGATATAATTACTGTATTGCACAGATTAGTTTTTGTTATTCACATAAAAGCCTGTTATATAGGAAATTTTGAGCTTAAGTCTATATGTTCCTTGAGTACATCCATAATGTGTGTTCTCATTTACTAGAAGAAACTGGAGCCAACCTTCCCTGTATGACTGGAAGCACAATATTATTTATCACGAAATGGATTGATTACTCTAATAAGTATGGGTTTGGTTTCCAACTGTCAGATAACAGTGTGGGAGTTTTGTTCAATGACACAACAAAGATTGGTCTCTCTGCTGATAAATTGTAAGAACTTGTGAATTGAATCAGGTGATAGTACACTGTTCAGAATAGTTGTAATAGTTACTTCATGAATTATGATATTCAGACAGTTTAGTATTGTGGCTATACACATAATTACAGGTGAGATGAAAACTGTTGTGTGTATATATACACACACCTGG